ACCCCCAAAGGGGTCGGGACTCCCAGGTTGAGAACTACTGCTCTGAAGGAAGGGCCCTTTCTTCTAAGTTTCTGCTCCAGAAAGATCGTCACAAGGCTTGGCATCTTCCCCCACCTCTGCTTCTCTCACTGCCGAGTTGAACCTCTTTTGAACCTCTTTTATATCTCAAAGGAGATTTGCTCAAGACACACCCTACAGCAGTCCTGCCTCCTTCTTGCAACAAAGACGGAAAACAAAACTAAACTAAATTCACTGTTATTGAGTAGATGCCGACTACCAGCAACCCTATAGGACAGGGTGAGTCCTTGGGACTGTAACTCTTCATGGGAGTAGAAAGCCACGTCTTTCTCCTAAGGAGAGGCTGGTGGTTTTGAACTGCTTATCTTACATTTTGCAGCCCAACGTGTAACCACTATACCACCATGGCTCAAAGACATCCTAGTCCCAAATGGGACTATAACCACAGACATAGAAGCTGGGAGGTGGGGGATGCGTTTGTGGGGGAGACAAATTTCAATCCATAGCAGATGGGAGTAGAATTATTAAATGTACAGAGAGTGTTAAGGGGGCTAAGACAAGTAAAGAAGAATTGGATGGAAAGTTGCCTGGAACCACGACCCCAAATCTGCTTGCTGACTGCCCAACAATATACTGAATCTCCCTATCACCCATTTCGTCTGGCCCAGTTCAACTACTGCTAATCAGTTCCTTATTGGTCCCATGACAGATCACCAGAAGAAACATTTTTATCATTGTAAACACAAACAACATTTTGAAAAGGAGAAGAGAAGGAAGCCCACAATCCTCCTAAATAAACCCAAGTCTTCTCATTTTGCTTGCTCCCTTCCAGCTCTCGTTCACACATGTGGACTTTTCCCACACAGTGGCAGCCAGAGATTTACTTTGTATTCTGCTTTTGCCTTCAACTTGTTATCATAAGCATTCTTCACACAGCCACAGCTTGAAGATATATTAATAGCTGCATAATCATCCCCAAATTTGTTGCACCATAATTTGCTTAACAAATAAACAAGCTTATTCCCAACTCTTTGCCCTGTAGCTCCTGCTGCAATAAATAAAAGTCCGTGTGGACGTTGCTTGTTGTCTTGGGTTGACTGTTGATCTTGAAGCAGCAAGGAGGTTCTGGGCTAATAGCTCCCATTATTCTGTTTTGTCGAATCCCCCCAGGCTGCCAGTCACAGAAAAGCTACTCCATTTCTGGGCTCTGATGTCAGACACTTGACTGACTACCCACAGCAGGGAAGTGGCCCCGTTCCCTCGCCAGATGTAATGTCTGAAGAGCGGCTTGGAAGTGCATCTCAACTTCTGGAAGAAACCGCCCAGCTTGCACCAGGTAGGCCAGGGTTCAGCCGCTAATTTGAAGTCCTCTTGCAGATGGTAGCTCCCCTGCTTCATGCCACTTGCACCTATGTTGGCCCCGAGAGATTTGCTCCTCCTCCACATGGTAGTCCCATGGTAAAGCAATTAAGGTACAGGCACTCGGCCCAAGTTAGACATGTCACCTGCTTTCTTCCAGCGGAATGAAGCACTGACTGAAGTCATCAATCGGTCTCTGATGAAGCCAGCCCGTGGTTCCGGGAGCCCGGGAGCCCAGAATCAGCTGGGTGTTGTCCTTTCGGAGTCCGGCCCTGCCAGCTGGCCTTCCAGCAGATAAGATGCCTTTCAATCTTCCCAAAGAGTCTCTTTCTGAGGAAGTTGGACCAAATCTGATCTGCTGCCCACCTGTGAAAAGAGGGCCCTTACAAATACACCCTGAGGTCCCCTTGTGAAGGACCTCAAAGCCCTTTATTAGGTATGAGGTCTTTTGAAGATATTATAAGAGGCCACCACTCCAGGTCAACCCACTGAACGTCAGTTAACCGTGAAAGTCAGCTGCCCCAGGCCTGCCTTAGCCCAGCCGGCGTCTCCTCGGAGCTCTCTGAGACTCGGCCATTCATCACTCTGACCAAACGAATTTTGACAAAGGATGAGTTGATGCCTTCGATCTCACTAAAATGCAATCACCCCCACCCCTACCCGGCAGCCTGTGCCTGCTCAGCATCCCGAGGGAGGGATCAGAGCCAGAGCCCCTCCCAGATTCCTGGACAGAGCTCTGCCAAGAACCTCTGGCTTTCTGGGCTGCTCCAAGAAAAGGAAAACCAGGGATCATCTGAATCCTGGGCCTGAGGGGAACGCGACAGTGGAATGAACTGGGACTACAGTGCGACAGTTCACTCGTTACGGACTGAATAGTGCTCCTCCAAAGAGATCTTGAAGCCCTCATGCCTGAGACCTGTGAATGAGACCTGGTTAAGAAATAAGCTCTCTAAACATAAATGAACATGGAGTCCTATAGGAGTAGGTGTGGCATTAGTCTGATATGACCCGCACTGTTAATAATGAGGAGAAACACTGTCAAAGAAAGGCAGGACAGATCAGTGAAGATACAGCTACAAGCCATGAAACTTCTGGGCTACCACCAACTCGGAGAGCCAACTGGGAGAGCCATCTAGGCTTCTGAGAAAACGTGGCCTTGTCAACACTCTAGTTTGGGACTAGCAGCCTCCAGAACTATGAAATGAAAACTGCTTTGTTTAAAGCTGTGTTAATTTAGACAACTCATGAAGGTCTTCATGTGAAAAAAGCCCCAGCTCCTCGGTGGGTCCTTCAAAAGGAGGAGGGAGCACATCTGATGGGAAAATGCTCAGCCAATATTCAGACGTGACTCTTACAGGTCTTCATGTCTCCATGGATCCCTTCAGCACAGCACGACTGAGGGCTTTAGGAGCTACTGGAAACATGCTGTGAGCAGCCTCTCTGGGGCAGCCTGCCCCATGGGTTTTGAACCAGGCTCCACAGTAATTTTACCCAAGGTCTCTGGTTAGGCTGAGGCATGATCAACAGCAGCAGCAGCAGCAGCAGCAGCAGCAGCAGCAGGCGCCAACATGGACACCACCTGCCAGGGGCAGAGCCCCAGGTGGAAAACTGTAACGATACCCGGAGTTAAGGGAGGGCAGCTTCAAAAGACAGTGATAGTACCTTCCACAACTAAGCACCTGCCTACCCTATGATGCAGCTGCTCCGCTCCAAAGTATACACTCTCAGAGATGCCCATCTATCCATGACTACCAAAAGACGTGAAGAGAATTTTCTGAACAGCTCTATTCATATGAACCCCACAGGGAAATGTACACAAATACAAGTAGCTTTGTCTCACTCCTCTAAATGGACAATCTCTTTCCCAAAAGGAACTGCTGCCACAAGAAAAAAAAAAAAAAAGGACGGTTGTTCTCGTTAGGTGCCTTAGAGTTGGTTTTCAACTCATAATGACCCCATGTGACAGAGCAGTGCTGCCCATCGGGTTTCCTAGGCTATAATCTACAAGTATAAATATACAAGTATATTTACAAATATTCCTACTGCTCGCTTACTGTCCCACAATTACATTTCACATTACAATAGCAAAAACATATATTATCCACATATTTTGCACATGAACAACACACACCTGGAAGCAGCAAATGCCAGGATGCAAGACAAGAGTAATTCTGGCTGTGATGGTTCAGGTTATGTGTTAACTTGGCTGAGCAAGGATTCATTTTTAGAAGTTTGGCAGTTATGTAATGATGTATCCATCCTCCATTTTATGATCTGACGTGTTTATCCATGTTGGTAGGTGAAGAGTGGCTGTACTTGCCCACCAATACAGTGTACACATCCATACCCAGACACTCAAAAGCAGGGACTCAGATATCTATAAACCAATATTCATTGCATTATTCACAATAACCAAAAGATGAAAACATGCCAAGTGCCCATCAACAAACAAAATGGGTAAACTATCTGTACAGTGGAATATTACTCAGCCATAAGAGAATGATGTCCTAAGATAGAAGGAAAACTTGAAAACACTGTTCTCAGTGAAGTCAGACACAAAAGGAGAAATACTGAATGTTCCTATTAATATGAAATACCTAGAATAGACAAAGGAGCCCTGGCGGGTAGTGATTACGTCTGGAAACTCACAGGTGTAGTTCTACCTTCCTATAGGATTGCTATGAATAGGCATCAATTTGATGTCAATGCGTTTGGTTTTTCGCGATTTTGAAGACTAGAAAAATGCACGCAGACCAAAATGTATGATAAATTTCATAGACAATATAATAAAATGATTAATTTTAAAGTTTTAGAATGTTTTACCCTTTGAAGTCAGCTGTCAAACGTCTTGATAAACCCAAACCAAACCCAATGCATTGAATAACTCCGGACTCAGGGACCCTATGATAGGCCCTGGAATGCTCCTAGGCTCCAGGGCCTGCGCCTACCGCGCCTTATACATAAACAGGGCGGGTGCCAAGTGAACTGGGGACCCAAGTTCCTCCGGCCCTCGTGCAGGCGGGCGGGAGCGGACGGGGCGCTACACGCATGCGCGCGAGGCGGGACTGTGTCTCAGGCCTGCGCGTTATCGCTCAGCTGGTGGGGGGCGGGGCGGAGGCGGCGGCGAGCGCGCGCCGGAGGCGGCCGCCTGGCG